TCCCAACACACCACTGGATCATGTTTCAATTTTCTCAATTACCTATCATATTTTCCTCTTTTACATGGGTAGAACAAAATCTGATTTCAACAATCCATCATAACACTGGCATGAAAATTGTCCAATTCATAGTATTCAATCTCCTAAATTGTAAACACAATAAACATCTACCAGAGAATACGATAATCCATTAAGCAGGGAAAATACTTATCCTTGATCATAGGTTTATCATGCATGAGAAGTACCATGTAACAATCTGTAATTTAATCAATAGTATAATGAAGATTATTGTTAAAGATCATATCTTCTCAACAAAAAGCCCTAGTTGTAGTAGAAGAAGAAACTAACCAAACCACTCTAGTCGGCAAAGACTCAAAGTAGAGTTTTAATGAAAAAAGAAGAACAAGAGGACTCCTATTGGATCCAACAACTAAATCCTTTCATCAGAACCAAAGGATTTGAGAAGGGGGGAAAACAGAGAGTGACACAAGATGAAAAAGGTTTCTAAAGATTCGAAGCTTTGTAGCTTTCATTTCACTTTGAAGCTTTGTAGCTTCACTGGGCTTGGATTGGAAATTAGAACTTCAGGTGGCTTTCATATCACTCCCTCCAGACATAATAATACCATGAGACACTATTGGGTGAAAATTGGAAAAAAATGAAGCTTTGTAGCTTTCATATCACTTTGAAAAAGAAAACTCCAGGTAGGCAGGTACTGTGGGGATGATTGGACTAGGGAGTAAACATTTCACCCTATCTAATGGACAGCTCTGATTGGTAAAGTTTAGGCAGTCAGTGGGCTTGGATTATGGGCTTCACAAGTCAGCTGTTAAATTACCTTGAGTAAGAGGCCGTTTGAAAACACTAGAGTGCCTTACTGGGTTTGTGACTTGTGAGAAAAGAATCATTCAAACCCAGCAAAACTCTGATCTCCAATCAATGTTCCTAGAATCCATTGAAAACTGCACTGGTTCTATTTACTCTTTTAATTTCCTTTTCTTTTTTGTTTTGTTTATGAATGGATAAGTAATGGTTCCCCTCTCTCTGCTGGGTCCTACCTGTATTATCTTCTGATGAGCTAATTGTGGAGCTGAAGCCTATTACAAAAAATGAGAATCGATGATTGTGTTTTTGATTTCTAGAAAGGAGAAAGTAGAAACCACTGAAATTAGTATTACACTTTGTGGGGCCTAGGTTCTCAAGAGTCGCATCCCTAAGTCAACTCCAACTTCAATAAAACAACAGGCTTTGAGCTCAATGCCCTATAGTTTAGGTGCCACTCTTGAGTCCTTGATACAGAGAGCAGATTCAGTCCTCACAAAATTGTGTTCACACGGTTCTTACAGCCTTTTTTTTTGGCTTTGCATTGGGAATATATCTTTTTATTTATAGGGAATGTTGTCAATACACTGTTAAAAGGGGTTGTAATAACAGTATAAGCACAATTTTGTAAGCACCAAATAAGTCACTTATATAAGACACTAGAGTGCCTTACTGGTAGAAGGCCATATTGGGGCTGGCGATCCCAAGTTGTTTCTCAGTCTGTTTGGAGTGGTGGTGGTATGAATTCATGATAATCTTATGTGGGTTGCTCTCATATCCTAAGCCAAAGGTTGCAGCCATGGGGGTATTAATACAAACAACTTCTCTGCTTTATATAATGCCTTCATCCATCAGCTTCGGGGTGTCTACTAGAGTGAGTAATGAACTGGGCGCTAACATGCCTTGGAAAGCTAGAAGAGTCATGGTTGTTGCTCTACTCCTGTCGTCCTTCTTGGGTTTTCTCTCAATGACACTTGCAACTGGGGTCAGCTCCATATGGGGGAAGATGTTTACAGGTGATAGTGAAATTCTTGACTTAACCAGCACGGTTTTGCCAATCATAGGCCTCTGCGAGCTCTTCAATTGCCCACAGACGACTGGTTGTGGAGTCCTGAAGGGATGTGCCAGGCCCAGACTAGGACATAATATAAACTTTGCTGCATTTTATCTCTTGGGAATGCCTCTGGCCATTTTGTTAGCTTTCCACCTTGGGTTTGGGTTCTTGGGGCTGTGGCTAGGACTGTTGGCAGCTGAGGCTTGTTGTCTGTTATCAATGGTGTATTTTCTCCTTCAAACTGATTGGTTTCAGGAAGCTGATAGAGCTTGGAAATTGACTGGGGTTGATGATGACCATCTGGTTCTACATAGCGAAGCACATCATCAACAGACCTTTGTAACAGTCTAATTAACCGGTTCGGTTTTTGATTAGATATATGGCCAGTGATTAGTGGGGTTTGAAATTAGCAATGCCAGTGAAGTAGGGTGGTCAGCAGTCGAAAACCTCCTCATCTGGGGAGAGGAAGAATTCCTGCTGTTACAGTACTACTGTCGTCTAGAGTTGTACTTTCCACGTGTTGGGCATTTATATGGTCAAGACTCAGGACCCACCATTAGATGCTTCACGTACATGTGAATGCCTGCATGATATTTTCTGTGATGAGCAACACTAAGCTTAGTTTCACTTCATTCTGCAGTTCATCATGGGGATAGGTTTCTATGATTTCCTTTCTTGTTCACTCTAGATAGTAATTAGTTGAATGATGGGCTCTCTATCTTCTTCTTATACGAAGCCTCAAATTAATTAGCGTCTGTTTGGTTAATAAGAGTCCGGAATCAGAATTGGAATCGGAATGGGTCATACCGATACTCCAACCCTCTTTCTCCTGTCTCTCGACACTCCCTCCTTCAAACCTTCTACAGTTCGGCGGTTGAACTCCGAAGATCCGACCTATATTACTCCGGCCAGGTCATGATGGATCTCTCTCCTTTTATCTCTCCCCTTCTGCAAACCCTTCAACCAGCTCCCTCCCCTTCTGCAAAACATCTCTACCCATCCTCTAAAGAGTTAAAGACCTCGTCTCTCGTCTTACTTTAGACGAGAAGATCTCTCAACTCGTTATCAATGCGTCGGCGATTCCCAAACTTGGTATTCCCAGCTATCAATGGTGGTTGGAATCGTTGCACGGTGTCGCCGATGCCGGACCTGGCATCCGATTCAACAGAACCATTCAACGTGCTACGAGCTTTCCTTAGGTCATCCTCACTGCCGCATCGTTTGATAAACGTCTTTGGTATCGCATTGGACAGGTAAGCGAGTATTCACTCTAACAACTTTGCTCATGAGAAAAGGGCAAAATCATTTGAATCTGTATCCCCCATGCATGGTTTGATTCTTCAATTTACTTTTACTTTGAAGGCTATTGGTACCGAAGCTCGAGCTGTATACAATGCCGAGCAAACCAAAGGAATGGCATTTTGGGCTCCGAACATCAATATATTCAAGGACCCCAGATGGGGGAGAGGGCAAGAGACGCCAGGTGAAGACCCATTGGTTTTTTGCAAGTATGCAATTTCTTTTGTGAGAGGGGTTCAGGGGGATTCATTTGAAGGAGGAAAACTTGGCAATCGTCTTCAAGCTTCAACTTGTTGCAAGCACTTCACTGCTTATGACTTGGACAATTGGAAAGTAATCAATCGCTTTGGCTTTGATGCTCGTGTAAGTTGCATCTTTCCTCCTAGTGCCTGGAATTTCAAAAGCGTGGTTGTCACTTTGACAAAAGTGTTTTCCCCTAGAAAACTTTTAACAGTAAACCCCACTGTTCAAATTTCCATAAACATTGATTGGCCGATGGAGATGCTTTTTGGGGTTTTGGTTTTGTTTAGCAGCCTTCAGAAACTGCAACAGAACATGCCTTGTTTTTCTGTCTGTTACTGTGTTTTTTTAGTAAAGATAGGTGCTTTAATGGTGGAAGTGATTCCTTTTCTTTTCTCTTTTCTCGCCCCTCTTCAAGATTTTGCCTAAAATATGGATTTATTTCTTTGTTCTGGGCTTCTGCGAAATGGAGTACAGGTTTATCTATCTATCTATATATAGTGCATTAGGCTTAAAGTTTCACTCATTTATGTGTATTTTAATAGGTCAAGTTGTCCATGTTGAAGAGTGCATAAATCAAAGTTAATGCATAAAGCATTACTGCTAGCATTGGCATAAAAAACATGCGCTGATCTAAGGTTCATAATCTAATAGTTGATATGGCCATTTAGAAAATGGAATGGCAAAACGGGATTTGGGAAGACAACTCTGTATGGTTGGATAAGGTTTTATTAAGCTGAGTTATCATTCTATGAATTGGAAAAGAAGAAAAGATCATCCAATAAAACTTGTGAACGATAAAAACATCACAGTTATCAATGTTTTTTCTTTTCATTCAAGGAGTTATAGAACCAGTAATTTGGAGCGGCCTTTTGTTAAGTATTAGTTATAAAAACTTGCAATGCAAATATCATGTATCTTTGTATTTTTTTTTTCTTTTTTTGCTTGCAAAAATGTATCTTTGTTATTGATAAGGCTGAAAGTGCTCTTTGTAATTTTTGTACATGACTTCTGATAATTTCAGAACTTGGTTTTATTATTTTAGTGCTGCAAATTGATAGGATCAAATTGTGGATTTTATTAGTCACAAGGTTACACTCTTGCCTCTCAGCTTGGTCATTCAATTGTAGGCCCAATGCCAAGCTTATTCACCGTCAAGATTGAGGACCCACAGTTAGCAGAGTTGTCTGGGGTAACATTCTTCAAAATTCAACAACATACTTTTTGTTCTTCACAACATATTTATGGAAACAAGAAATATGTTAGGTGGCTCTTTACCAGTTTACCTCCTTTTGAAGATTGGCATTCTTGTCTTTGATCAATTCATAAAAAATTACAAACAGAAAATAAGGATGGAAGCTTTTAAATATGAGAGGAAAATAAATAACACCTTTACATAATGAAATCCATACTAGTAGGCTCAGGCAAGTTAGTCTAGCATTGGATAACTAGAATATGAGTGTATAAATTGTTTCTTACAGGAAAGCTCCTCCGACAGACCTCCCTGATCAATTCTGACTACAGAAGACATGAATGCATTAGCTTCAACAACGTCTCCAAACTGTGGAAAACCAGTTTTTGATGTTCTTTTAACAGGGGCAGAATTGGAAACTTTGGCTGATTCCGATTCCAGCTTTTAGTTGAACCAAACAGTAGGAATCAGAATCCGATTCCGATTCCTGACTGAACTAAACAGATTCCAGGAATGGACCATTCCGATTCTGATTCCGATTTCAATTCAGATTCCAGCTACGAACCAAAGGGACCCTTACTTCTCTGAACCATTTTCAAGGCATTATTTCTTTTGGGTACCAACAGAGAACTAGGGGTTTCTACTCAACTTTCTACATCTAGTCTGGGTATTCAATTCTCTCAGGGTAGTGTGGCCACTTTAGGGTGGGTGGACCAACTTTGGTCTTCTTCTGACTTAACTATACAAATTAAATTCGACTTGATAGAGTTTAAATTTAATGGTTTTAGCTAGGAAGGATGGGTGGATTCAAAGATGGAATGTTTTGTCAATAGACCTCTCTCAGAATGGCAGCCTAGACGAGGCTATACCAATTACTACTGTTTGGTTTGGTTGACTGGCACAGAAAGGCTTAACCCAAAACCAGTGTTCTGCCTCACTTAATATGGCCACGAATCCTTCCTAATTAAAGTGAATAAACCTCTATGTTAAGAACAAACTAAAGCTTTTGCTGCATTACTGGTTGACATTTTTTTAGTAAACAGAAAAAAAAAGTATTGTAGTACTGTAAAGAGGGTGAGGAATCCTCAGAATTTACAAACACGTATGACTATAATATCCACATGACACATACAGCATGTTCAAAAAATGATGGAGCTCCACTGATTCTGGAAATAATCAGAAGGAGCTCTCATGAACTGGTGTTGTACTTTGGCCCATCTCATCAAGGTCTATCATTTTTTGCCATTTAATTTTTACCCAACTTTCTGATTGTAGGTGACTTATCTAGAAATTTCCTGTGTGAATAAGAACAAGATTGTATTCCTTCCAAACTGAGCCTATAGAATTCCCATGTTTCATTGTTCCGGGCATTTGTGCAGAAAACATGGTATTTTTCTTGATTGTATATGCTGTATTTTGTTCCATGGCTTGAGCCCTAATGGCTAAAATTCATGGCAGGCTGGAGAGTTCTCTTCTCGCATTCAGCAGCTAGCTAGCCGTGGTTCGGGTACCAACCAGGACTTGGTCGGTTCAAGATTTTGGATGAGTTGATCATTGACCTGTTGCTGAAGAAGGCATCTTAATATATGAATCAGCTGTGCCAAGTGAAGCCAGGCAATGTGCTGAGGTGTTCCGTTTGTGCCTTCACTATGGTCTATGGAGAATTTTTATTCCTTCTTCCCCAATGACATCCAACCAATTTTCCCCTGTTCTGTTTTTTTGTCATTCTCTGTTATTCTTCTTTGATAGAGAACTGTATATCTGGCTGTACTTGAAAAACCCCAACCATGTAATTTTGGTGTATGCTGCTTATTGGAAGTAATTTAGACTCACATTTTGTAACTGTGATTTTGAAGGTCAAAGGATTGACATGATCTTATAAGCATTGGCATTTTAAACTCTCCTCTCTACTTGTTATTTGTGAAAATTCAATGGTTCATTAAATAATCAGAACTAGTTTGATTTTCATAAAGAAGACCAAAAATTATGGCAACGGTCTTAAATGCCCAAAATTTGAGCCCAAAATAATGGCAGATGGTGTTTTCTTCTATTGTTGGAAAAACTTGAATTAGGCTCAAATTGGGTTTAAAAGAAGAGGCAGCATGATTTATTTCCAAAAATTTTAGGGGCATTTAAGACTTTGTGACAGTTTTCAAATCCATGTTCAAAGGGTAAAATTGGAAAGAGATGAAAAAAATAACAATTTACCTAGGGAAGTGTGTTGCAAAAGAACATGCGAAAATAAGAAACATCATTTACCTGTGTAAATCAAACAAGAAAAGAACATGGGTAAATGCACTTACCCAGTAAATGTGATTCCGAAAAAAGAACATGGCCTTAAAGTATATTTTAAACAATGTCCTTTATTTTAGGGAAAATTGCTAAAACCTCCCATCAAGATTGTTATTGAAACATCCCGTGAAGTTTGGTAATTGCAATAACCTCCAATAAACTTTCTAACATGGTTGCAAGTAGACCCTCTTTCTTAAAATCCTCTAACAAGAGGCATGAAAATGTCCAAAATACCCATGCAATTACTTTTGGTTAAAATGTTTGTTTTCCAAATTTTCTCTTCATATCAATCGCTACCCTTAACCCTTTCAGTATCATTTCCAAAATTGATTTATTTTCCAAATTTTCCCTTCATATCAATCGCTAAAAGGTAAATCTACAACTTTACTCTCTCTCTCTCTCTCTTTTTGTTGTTCATAAAGTTTGTATTGTTTTTCTATAAAAACTAGCATCGATTGTATTTGCATGGGTATTTTGAACATTTTGTACCTCTTATTAAAGGACTCTAACAGAGGGGTTCTACTTACAATTATGTCAAAATGTTTAGGGGAGGTGATTGTAATTGCCAAACTTCAGGGGAGGTTTCAACAATTTATCCTTTATTTTAAAGTAGTGACTTTTCATTTCAAATTTTACAAATTTTCATTCATAACCTTTCTTTACTAAGTGTCTTTTAATAGGTGACCTTTAAATTTCAGTGTCTATTCTTACAATGTGCATTTGGGTCAATATAAACCCAATGACATTTGAAATTCAACACACACACAAAAAAAGAAATCTTCTCTCATACTTATTTTTCTACAATCGTTTTGGCAATTTTTTCCCATGCATTTTGAAAGATTGTTCAGGTTTGCGTGACCCAATATTTCTATGTGCACGGTTATTGGAAGCCACCAAGGTTGTTGAAACCTAAAGCAAGACACCTACTAGACTTGATCCAAATGAGGCAAAATTCTACTTGTAGACAATGTTTCTAACACACCTTAGCTGATGAGTTCAATTTTCTCCTTTGGCTTTTACTTCTCTAACTTTACTTCTTATTAGAAGTTTCCTATTCTATTTCTTATGACTAAATTGTTCTCTTAAATTTTATTTTTCTATCATCATTTCATTGTTTTTAATTGAAAACAGTAACTTTCATTAAGGATATCAAATAAACATCTGCCAACCACTCAGATAAAGAGTGTTGACCCCAAAATAACATCAAGAGTTACAGTACAACCCAGAAAAAGTTTTCCCTAAATGTCTCCTGTTTTGCCAAGCTATCTGCCACAGAGTTTGTTGGTCTCCTTACCCATTTGAATGTTACTCCAACTTCCCTTGCCAAACAGATTATTTCCCTTATTTGCTGTCTAAACTTCCATACACCTAACTTCTTTGTTTGCAGCTACCTTATTAACAATTTAGAGTCTCCTTTCACCTCCAAGTTCTGAAATTCACATTGCTTGGCAAATCTCAAGCCTTGTAGGAGAGCCAAAGTTTCAGCTCTCATAGAGTCTCCCACTCATATGGGACCAGAGTATAGTGCTACCATTCTGCCCTCCCCATCCCTAAAGACTCCCCTAGCTCCCGAAGGTCTTGGATTACCCATGGAGCTTCCATCAAAATTTAATTTTACCCTTTGTTGTGTTGTAGGTGTCCAAGAAGTCCAATCTTCAATGTGAAGTTTGTCATCGTAAGCACCATTGAGTATCCTTTCTTTTTAGAAACATATGAGTTGTATGTCAAAGTCCTTATGAATTAGTCCATTCAGATGTTTGCAAGCCATGCCCTATTGTTTCTTATTTGGGGTTTTGTACTTTGTTACATTTGTTGATGTGTATTCTCATATGATATAGTTATATAATTTTCTACATTTCAATCTTTTGTTATAAAAATAAAGACTTAATTCAATACTATTGTTATTATATTGCAATTTGATAATGCAAAGGAGTATTTATCATTATCTTTTAGTGATTATTTTACTTCTTATGGTGTACGACATCAAACTTCCTTTGTTCATACCCCTAACAGAATGATGTTATTGAATGGAAAAACCAACACCTCTTAAAAGTTACTAGGGCTTTTCTCCTCTAAATGTCAATTATAAAGTTCTATTGGAGTGATGTTGTTCTCATTGTTTGTTTTCTAGTAAACAGGATGTGGCCAACTATTCTAAGGAGTTAATATAGGATTCTAACACCTACATGTAAATGATACTTAGGAGTAGGTACCTCTTCATCCTGTACATGGTTAAGTATTTACCTAATTGTTTCATTGAGCCTTAAAGCTCTTTTTTTTTGTTGCAAAATGGTTTACTCAAAAATATGGAGTTGATTTATTTATTTATTTTTTGATAAGTGAGAAAAAATATGGAGTTGATTTTACCAATACATTTTCTCCTGTAGTTAAAATATCATATGTTAGAGTTTTTATATTTGTCATTGGCCTCTTTTCCAATTAGATGTGAAAAATGCTTCTTGCACAATGAATTTCAAAAGGAGATATATATGAAGCAAACTCATGAGTTTGTTGCTCAGGGAGAGCGTGGATTAGTGTACCACCTTAAGAAAGCATTTTATGAGCTTACTATCTTTGTTGTATTTGTTGATGATATTGTACTTATTGTGATGAGAAGGGAATCAATGAATTAAAGAAATTTCTAAAATTTAGATTTCACACTAAAAGATCTAGGAAAGCTACAACATTTTCTAGAGATTGAAGTGACACCATCTAAGAGTGTCACTTAAAAGTATCTTAAGGGATCTCAAAGTCTTAGATTAAAATACAAGGATCGTGGCCATTTGACTATATCTGGATTCTTGGTAAAGACTGGGCTCGCTCTCTTACATGTAAGTTGATATAGTTTAGAAGTTGAGTCTTTCTATGCCACTTCCTATGCATATATCTTGTGATAATTGTTAAATAACTTAGTTTATTTCAAGTTTAGTGCCATAAGGGCACATTTGTAATTTCTCCTTTCTTTTATTTCTGTATGGTCACCCTAGTATAAATATTAAATAAACTGGCGCCACCAATTGACTTTGGTCTCTCTCGAATCTTGTTCCTCTTTTCTCTCTTCTCTCTTCTCCTTCTTCTCCTTCTCCTTCTTCTCTTCTCTCTATTCTAGAATCACACCACCTCTGCACCAAGAAAACATGGTATCAGAGTGGCAGATCCAATCTTAGGAGCAAGGCAATGCTTCTTTCCTTTTTTTGTCTATTGATCGAACCAAAGAAAAAGATCTCTGGTGGACGTGTGAAGGAGCTCACCAAAAAATAGTGTTTTTTTTTTCTCTTGGTCGTGAGCCCAGAAATTATCAAGAAAAAAAAATGAATGTTGTGAATCAGTTTCGAATGCTATGAGTTTTTTTTTTCTTCCTTGGTTTTGTGGATCGAACTGATCCTTTTGTACCTAGATGAGTGGGTTATGTGGGTTTAATGACTTGCGGCTGGTGTGAGAGTGCCTTCTCTCAATGTATGTAGATTGAGTGATCCTTCTTATAGGTGTTATTGTTTCAGGTATGCAGATCTATAACTGTTGTGACAGCCATTTATTTCCTTCTTTTGTTTATATTGAACCTAAGTTACTGTGTGAAAGCTGATTTGTTGCTAGAGGGAATGATCAGACCTGTTTCTTTGATATACCTTACACATCTGAAATGGTTTAATATGCCGAAATCTGAGAACAATAATGGTGTGTGATCAGTCTGAAATGGTTCAGTAGGGCCGGAATCTAAGAATAGTAATGGTGTGTGATTAGTTTTGATTTCTTTATGTGGGAACAAGTTTTCTTATGTTCGGAATTGTAGCTGAATTGAGGCTTCTACCTGTTTGACTATACTATGAGTCTGAACTGAACTGAAAACTTGTTGCTGGGTTGTAACTGAACAGATTCAGATTCTGTCTTTTGAAGATTCTGGTATGTCTGGTGTTACCTCTAGTCAGAGTGGGATGAGCAGAGGTTTTGACATGAGTTTCCCCATGCCTGTGATTACCTTTGATGTCCTCAATTACCTAGAATGGTCAAGAGGAATCAAGCTCTACATAACTGCAAAGGGAAAAGTGGGGTATATCAATGGTAGAATCAGAGAACCTCAGTCTAGTGGTGTGGAACATGATAGGTGGGACCAGGAAAACAACATGGTGATGTCATGGCTGTTATTGTCTATGCTGCCACAAGTGAGAAAGACCTTCATGTGGGTAGAAGCAACTCATGAGATATGGGAGTAGGCACAACCTACATACTCCAAACAATGACATTATGCTAAAATATATCAGTTGCAGGCTGCCTCCTCAATTTGTAAATAGGGGGAGAGGAGTCTATCCGTCTACTATTCAGACTTGACTTCTGTTTGGAAGGAACTAGATCACTATTAGAATATAGACTGGAAATGTGATGCAGATGCCAAAGCATACAAGTCTTTGGTTTCCCAACAATGAGTGTTTGCCTTTCTCTTAGGGTTGAATCCCACATATGAATCTATTAGGGTTCAAATACTGGGGGATAAAGACCTCCCATCAATACAAGAAGTATATGCTCTAGTATAGTTAGAATAGATCAGACGAAATGTGATGAATAATCCTGAGGGAGAGCATGTTGCTTTAGTAGCTAAAGGGAGTGTTGCTATGG